GATGTCTATGGGTAGCGGTCGCTTTGCCATTTTGGCGGATTTAGGTGGCCGCTTGCTCGTGTGCCACCTTATGTTATAAAAAAAAAACATATCTATAAGCCGACATAAATCAGGTGACTTATCATGAAGATTTGCCATTTTCTGTTATAAAAAGGTCTACTACTCTTATTATGTCATTTCACAGCATGTAGTTAATTCATAATCAATGTTTGTTATATACATTTGCAATATAATTTTCACCGAGAGGCTTGAGGCTAAGTTCAGTAAACCATGCTAGCTAAGTACGGATTGACTAAACACTTTTTATATCATCTAAGATATACGGAGATTTCATCAAAGTGTTTTCACAACATTATTACATTATTTAATTGATTCTTAATTTTATCTAATTGACATTAAAGTAAAAACTTCCATTTCTTCAAGGAATTAAACGTGTCAAATTATCAAGTTTTAATTGGTAACTCTTAATGAGGAAGCTAACGGGCGTCGGACTAGACGCTAGTGTCCAATGCACGCCGTATTCCACCTTTTATTTTCTCAATAATTTCACGTAAAGCGAAACATTTTTATTTTATTTCTCTACCTACGTTGCGCAAATCCCCATTATTTTTCTACGTTAATTTAACTGTTTGTCGACGTACAATTCTCAGAAATGCTGACATCATTTTTAAATTGAAACTAAACAAAATACATATGGAGTAAACAAAAGGAATGTTTGTGGATAAAATGATACAATTAATATACACAATAGATTAGGAGACTTAATGCTATTGTTTGTTCGATTCGTTAAAGTTCTCGGAAGTATTGATGCCTGGACTCTACATATTTTAATTGATTATTATTTTCCCCAAACATAGACGATAACGATAGTAAAACATTAATTTAACCAATAACAGAGCGTCGGTGGCTCAGGGGTTTGACCACTTGACTTGTAATCTACAGGTCTAGGATTCGAATCCCTCCATATACCAATGTGATTTTCGATTTTTTCGAATTTCATATGTACATAATTTACCCGACGTTCTTACGGCCAAGGACAACATCATGATGAAACCTGCACATACTAGCGAAGAAATTCAATGATATACGTATATGTGTGAAGTCAACCAACCCGCACTGGGCCAGCGTGGTTGACTATGGCCTAGTCACCCCCTTATTAGGGTAGGCTCCGAGCCCCTCAGTGGAGACGTATAATGAGCTGGTGATGACCAATGACTTGGTACGACAGTAAACTTGAAGGTTACATGTTTAACTTTGTTAGCTGTTTCTTCATCCGAAATGGATTCTTAAAGTGCACCTTCGTGTCTGCTATCGCTTGCAGTGAAAGCCTAAGTAATGCTTTATAAGATTTAAAGTCGAACAGTTAAAGTGAACGACTATTTTTCAATCCGTTGAAACTGTAAAAGCTCTCCAGCTTACATCGGCCAACGGCTATAAGAACACGAAAGATTTGATTTAATTCAAAAGAATTTTAAACTTTATATTTAAAATACGTTAACTTATAATGAACCTGGGGTTGAAAGTTTAACCACTTTTCAATCTATTAAATTATTTTTGCTCTTACTAAAACGTTACTAGAATGGAAAAACTCAGAGTACATCCTCTTTTCATTAGTAAAAAACAGCAAATAAGATTTCCTTTGTAACATTTTTTTTAACTTTGTTTCATTAAAGTCGTAATCTTTAATTGCTTCCGACTGTCGTAACATAAATAGAATTGCCAATAGAATTGAAAATGCTTAGAGAGCTTTAATGTGACCCTAATAGCTAAAGCGGGCAATCCTTTCTATTGTCTTATTTGTCAAAATCGAAACAAGGGAACGGGTATTTGCTGAAACAATTAGTTTCTATGCGACTACCATTGAACTAGGGATATTTGTATAATGTAACAATAAATTCATTTCTAATGCTTAGACCCGAATTATTTAGTTTGTAATGTATTAAAATCATAGGTTTTGGTTGAGTTGATTTTGAATTTGAGATTGAATTTCGTAGCTTTAGTGAAATTGTGTCACGTTCCTTAATGTGCGTTAGGTAAAAGAACCAAATAAAGAAACTAAAGGCAAAGTCTAAAGTCTTAAGAGATAGTATTTCTTCTACTTATTCCCAGATGTTTCATCATGTCTAAACTTTTTACAAAAAAATCTTGTAAGACACCTTTCGTGTGTTCCGGAATTTCTTACTCTTATCGAAATCTTACCAATACTATAAACGCGAATGTTTGTATGGATTGATATTTGTTTGAGTTTATAATAAAAGCTGCTGAACGGAACGGAAATTTGGCACAGATCTAGAACATAATCTGGGAGAAAATATAGTCTACTTAATTTTCTATTTACCATAACGCCGCGCGGACGGTGTCACGGGTGAAATTTAGTACTTTATCAAATAGTCATATTCGAGTTAACGTAGTAACGCAACGAATTTGCAATCATCTAAAATCAAAGTCAACAACACTAGTGCCATAGGAAGTGAGGTTACACTGAAACGTCAACAAAACATAACCGCTCTCATTAACCCCTTCGTATTAACACTAGTAATTCATTTACGAGCTAATTTTGAGCGGGATACAATTCAGTTTGCTGATTATCATTCGGCTAACGGACGCTGCAGTTAAATTACTTCTAAACCTTTCCTTTGTTTTGTCATAACGCTCTACTATCAGACGTTAATGCTATATTTGGTATTAAAATGTATAATAATAGCAATGTGCCTATTTTATTTAGCGAGGACAGTTATTAGTGTGAAATATTAGGCAAAGTAAATAATTCTCTTTGTCCATTGATATCAAACTATTATTTTAAATCAAAAATCTCAATTTCTTAGGAGAAGTTTCCACCAACCTTTTATTACAAAATAGAACCCAGGCATCATAAAGTTCAAATACAATATCATTGTTCAAGTAAAAATAAGACGAGATTCAAAAACAAATAAGGGAGTGTTAGAAAAAATACCAATGAAAACAAACAAAAAATGAGGAATCACGCTATAGAGAAGTCAAAGCCAGTGTATTTTAAATTCATAGGCAACAGTGCACGTCCGTCATAACACCTGAGGCATAAAACGGAACGAAAGATTTTTTAACTCATGATTTTTCAGATTTACTACAACGCCATCTAGTTATTAATTAGAGAAGCAATACATAAATTCAAGCTTTATATAGATATGAATTTATTTTTTTAGATTATCGTCGATCTTAATATCTCGTCTATCGTCTCGAAGTTTCTAATAAGACACGACAGAGACACGAAGCAAATTTTTGTCTCATCATCTAGGTCACAGACGTTATTGACTTTATTTATTTATGCAATAATTTATTCGGAATCTGTCCTTAAGCTGTTTAAGAGTCGACAATTAAAAGTTTGTGTTCTGAAAGGCCTTCAATAGAGAATTAACAGAGTCGTGAAAGGCTTAATAAATGAGATTCAGAGTGTCAACAACTTCCAAATAATTTTCTACGTTTTGTTAACGAACGTCGCCTGTAATTATTTGCTTAAGGTTTTCTTGGAAACGATTATTTATGTTTTGTTCAACAAATTTTCTGGCATGATTTTGGTGGTCGTGTTTAAATTGTTTACTTATGAAAACCACAAAGTACATTTTAATTTCTTGGCAAGTTAACTTTGAACTTGAATACATTTTGCATGATTACTAGTAACTAAATTGTATAGTAATATGAAGGTGCAGTGAAACATAATTCAAGTCAATAATGCAGGAAAAAATCAAGGAAACTTTTATCTAACCGTCTATTAGATAACTTCAAACCACGACTGAACAGGTTATTATCCGGTTTTACAAAGCGCAAGTCACTTACCACTTCTAGTTAATGTTATATTAGACGGAAACTCTTAAATATTCTTAAGCGATGTCTTACAAATGTAAATAAAAATAGTATAATACCATATATTAGACCTGTATTGAAGTGGAACTCTATTACTATTGGAAAAGCTTGAAAACTGGTAAAAAAGAAACATCAATTATTATAGCTAACAACATTGGTTGTGAAATGCACTGGACCTACCAGTAAACAATGACTTGATATAAGCTCAACCTAGACTTGTCAGCGTTTTACACAAAGAAAATTAACAAAACAACACAAAATAAGATTTACAAACACGCAATATATTGACTTAATGAGACGTTGTAATATGCCCATCTTTCGAGGAACGCACTCGTTATTAAAAATCTTTTGTGTAAGGGTTTTTCGAAGTTATGATGAACATAAAAGCAAACAATTCATCCGACAAACACATCGCATTCATACTCAAACAAAAGAAAACTCCTTCGTCTGGAAAAGAGGGTACAAACACAAAGCGGTGTCGGGACTTGACTTCGCATTGAAAATTCATAAGTTTCGTTGCACGAACACTGCAGCCCTGTTCGCCGTCTCAACGTAGAGGTAATAACTCTTCTGAGCATCTCGCTGATAGACACATAAATAAGCTATTCATTGCTGAATTGTCGCCGATATGGAATTAAGGGTCACGATTGCTAAAATTCAATCACTGTTCAATATACTTTTTTATAAAAAAACTCACATATACTATGTTCTTTTTCATGTAACCCTGATAACACAATTAAAAATTAGACAGAAAGGAAGATTTTACTCCAACGCATTCAAATCCCATTGTATAAACCATGTTAAAAAAATTGGGACGAAATATATTAAACGTTATCTGCAGCTGGTCGCAACTCTGCATGAATATTAACCTCATAAACCTTCAAAGAATGTAGCGACGATGTTCATTCACAAAAATTAGTTACGGGGATAAATATTTAAAAGCGTTAATTAGAAGAGATCAAAAAAAAACATATCAAGCTTGTGTTTAATTAGTTTTTAGGTTTTCATATAACCGAACATTGTTATATCTATTAATATAAATACTAGCTGTTGCTCGCGACTTCACTCGTGTGAAAATAAAAAAATATATTACAATATAAAGCCTATATTACACATAGATAAGTTACCTTTCTAATGGCGAAAGATTTTTTTAAATCGGCCCAGTAGATTTAGCGTGAATCAAATACATACAAAAATACAAATCTTTGTTGTTTATAATATAGAAGAAGAAGATAAGGCAGTCCTTGTATTAAAGAATCTTATCACAATTACTAGATAAACGCATATTTGTACAAATAATTATTAATTCACAGTCAGTGATAATTAATTATTCATAATATACGCAGACCTTGAAAACTAACATCTTTTAAAAGCACCAGGAAGCATTATTTTAATAATTAACAAAATAAGCAAAATCCAAAAATAAAACTGGATACAGAATACATTTTAGGCAATAATCTTTTTGCTCGACTTTGTAATTTCATCTAGGAGACATCCATCCACCAACTATCTCTTTAAATTCCCTTTTAAAAGGCGTTAACTAACTATTTTTGTTACAGAAATAACTAATAAACACACATATTCGTTAATAGAATATTTAATCTACATAAAACTCATTTGTTTTTCTTATCATTATTAATTTCTTTACTAAATAATACTGATTTAATTAGTAAGGTAGTCTTGCATATCAAATAACAAATTACAATAACAAATAACAATGCGATGACGTACACATCGAGCATCAAGTATTCAAACCAATTTAATTCTAATGCAGGATTTTTCAACGCCTCTGCGTTGTTGTTCCTTAAAAGATATTCTAACCAAAACATAGCTGTATCTAAAGGAGTCATTGGCCTATCTTTAAACCTTTGTGATATTTCTAATGCCTTTTTCTTATAACTATCATTATTAAGAACTTCTAAAATTACACTTTCCAGATATTTTTCACTAATATCCTCATATTTCAGAATTTTTCCGAATCCTTTCTCTTCAGCTTGTAAAAGATTGTTGTATTGATCCGCATAAATCGGAATACCTATTATTGGTATCGCATTGAAAACAGCTTCTTGTGTTCCAATCAATCCACCATGGGAAATAAATAGTTTGACGTTAGGATGTGCTAAAAAAAAAGAAACTCTAAGTAAAAAAGACTACTAGTTCTGTTGAGAGATATCTAGATGACATAAACGATTCTAAAAATATAACAATTTGTTGTAGAAGATTGATTTGTGGTGGTATTTGTGTAAATATCCACCAAATGTAAAATACAAGAATTCTTTCTGCTTTAAATTCTAATCATAAAAGTTCTTACCGAAAATTTCCTTTTGTGGTAACCAATTCCTTGTTACTAAATTTTTCGGTTTATTATCTAAGTTTTCGTCTTCCCATTTCCACAAGACAGTTTGATTTAGTCGTTTAAATACGTTGAGAAATGCATTTTTCTTATCGACTGGCAACTCAGAACTTCGGACGTTTGAACCAAAGTTCATGTACACTACTCCGTCCGTTGATTTATCCAGAAGCTGTTTTAGATCCTTGAATAAAACATACATTTCATTTTAGTGGTAGTGGTATTCACTGATAATGCAATTTGACCAAAATTTAATATAAGAAGCCAAGACGTATTTACTTACATTAGGTAGCTCCCCATCACTTTTAGATAAATGAATTCCACCAATTTCTATTATATTAGGAAGATAGGCGACAGGGCCATCGAAAGTAAAGTGACTGTTAACAAGCATCAGAGAAGCCTTCCTTTGCATTTCATATAAACTTGGTACAGGTTCTGGGAGATTTGTTACATACTTCTTTACTAACTGTTCCTGTTTATCTAAGAACCAATATTTCCACCAAATGAATTCGTACACTGTAAAATATAAGCTTCTTAATCTACCCCAGAAAGATGTTGGATTTTTGACGTCTAAAAATTCTGGCAATACCGTTTCTAATTGCAAAGGATTACGAGCTATTATATTGTGCCGCATACAATTTCCAAATGTGGTTACAAGGGCTAGTGGAGCTTGATATTTATGGGCTAGAATGTAAGTTGCTTCTTGGAAGAACTGTTCACATATCACCAAATCAAACTTCTGATCTATAGCCAATAGCTGTTGAACTTGAACTGAATTCATAATAACTTCAGTAAATGCAAGGCCACCGCCCCAGAGAATTTTCTCGTGAAATTTCTCTGCTGATATACTACTCATCGTGAAAACATTTGGTCTTCCGCCTCCTGTAAAATAATGTACTTCTTAAATTATACTACGACTCGTGATTTGGTCATTGTTGTGAGTTTGTACCCAGATTCTACTAAAGAACATTTTAATTTTAGTGGCAGCTTAACATCAGATGGACCACTTTTTGAAACTTTAGAATAGAGGACGGTTATTGCATCTTTTGCAAGAAAGGAAAAGGTTCAATAAGTTAGCAGTTTATTGATAAACACATGACATATACCATCTATATTAATATTTAAAAAAATAATCACAGTGTAATATCATTTTGTTAGAAATATTCAAAACGTCAAAATCTCATACACTTCTAGGAGACATTTTATTCACACATTTTAATGCTACCAATCTCTTTTATTATGAATGGATTAATTTTGGATCGTTTCGGTATTTACCTTGATGATTCAAACTTGTCTGATTGTAGTAAGTCTGAGATAACAGCCTTATAAAGGTATAATTGTTTAGACAAGCTTGCTATAATTTCATATTTCCCTTGAACTCGACTGTAGCATGAGTAATGAAAGAAAAAAGTACAACTTACCAATAACCTCCCAAATCTTTTTGTCGTCGACCATCACCTCGTGATAATTTTTAGGAGGATTCTTTTCCTTGTTAGCAGTAATAACAGTAACATTGTGTCCTCTTCTAGCAAGTTCTAATCCAATTTGTCGTAACATTATATAATGGGACGTTGAAGTGAATGGTTCCACATATAAAATATTCGCACAAAGACATGATTCAAAAACACATAACACTGCACACAACCACAAGAACTTTAATCTGACCTGTAAATAAATAAAAATAAATAAAAATTACACATACTAATAATACGTTGCCCATAACAACGTATAAGTATTTTAACAATTATTGTAAACATTTGAAATCCATACAAATTTAACGACGAATATTTCTTCAAAACATTTAAAATTTTAATAGAGAAATAATAAAGATGTAGGTACTTACAAACATATCGCGAAATAAGCGAAAGCTATTTTGGATTTGTCTAAGTACACAGAAATTAACAATTTTCACGGACATCCACTACTTTGGAGTAAAATTAAATAAGTGCTTTTATAAAAAAATCAAACAACCTTCAAAGATAACCATCCGCATTCGCCAAAATAGATAGACACTAAAGAGTTTTATAATTATTTGCTAACAAAACTAGAACAAAAAGAAGAAAAAATACAAACCATTTTATTTAACACTCAATATTTTGACCTTCCTTCTACTCGAAGTCGCAAATTATACTGACTTGGGCCTTACGTTTTTCATCATAAGTTGAACAAGACGCTACATCACGATTACAGAGCGAATGTATCTAGCGAACGAACTAGCCAGCTAGGTAATCGTCCACTTCAAACGCGAAATAATAGCTTTCAATAGAACAAGATCCGTTCAAATGCAAGTGATGATTGACTAGATATCTGTGCATACACTTTAGAACAAAGGATAGATCAGGGCCTACATTTCTATAATATAGAAATCAAAGCATAGAAAAACAAAATTTAGATAGGGATTATTTGGATAACAAACCCTCGTATGCGTGTTATCAAAGTTTAATTGGAAACTGATCAATGATTTGATAGAGGAATAAATAGATTTAATTTTACTGATATAGTTTGCATAATTTGTATAAATAATGGCCCCTAAAGTTCAGAATTGAACCTAAATTAAAAATTAAAATCTTTTTATATAGTCTCTCCATTCACATCTCGTCCACATTCGCTTTAACACCATCAAATTCGTCCAGAATTTGACAATTTCCTTCAATAAGCGTACAAATTTTATAAACAAAGCTTGCCCACATCTAGGACTTAATTTCCAATTACCTGGATGTTACCTAATCGAATATGATATAAATTACTGATGTGAAAAAAATACATTTTCAAACATAACTCACGTTGACGCACAATTAACTCAATAGTATCTCTACACGATAAATCAACATGGAACAAAAAATACACTCAAATACATTTTCAAGGACAATGTAACCGGAGTTAAGGATTTTTTTTTTAGTATGAGACAAATTTTTTGTTGTAATCATAATTTAATCAGTATAAGAGGTAACAAGACTTAACTTTTTTTTTATTCCTTAGAAAATCATGAAAAAAATATTTAAAAGATTCGCTAAATGATAAGGAATTAAAGTGATTTTGTCCCACATGTCTACAGTTTTTTTACAGAAAAAGGTTTTCTTCTATACATATAATGAAAGAGAAGTGTCTGTTTGTAATATCAAAAGAAAAATTTCAGATTTCGGGAAGATGTCGTATTTGCGTTGCTGATAACTAAAATTGCTTTTAATTTTTTTTTGTCTGCCTTAAGCCGCGTTTGTTCCAGGTTATTTCCGAAACGGATTGACCGATTTCGAGCGGGCTCTCACTGAAGGGTAGCTGACATAGACGGGCATATTATAGGCCACTTTTTTATCTTAATATTCATGGACGAAGTCGCGGGAAACAGCTAGTATTCAAATAATTTATGTGGTATCACAGTTATCAACCTAAAATCTTCCACAGCTAGGCCTCCACCAACGGGTCTTCTGTCGCCCTTAGCCAGCATACTCCAAAAGCCTTGAACACATACGCCGCACGTGATAGATAAATTACTTTCTGTTATCAGAGGGGTTATCACCAATATTTGCCAGAAAATTTTCGTAACGTTAGCGACAAAATTTCTGTTAGAATTAGATAGCGCCTCTACCGGACGTGAATTACACCAAAAAATTTCACATATATTTTGCCGATGATAATATAAATACATTCTCGCAACTACCAAACAAATACTCGTGATAGACCCTTCTAAAATAAAACGTTGGAACGTGTAAAGGAAATAGATTTCTAACATTCCAAATGACATTCGAACGAACAAAAAACAGAAATTTAAATTTAAAATTATGTAACCTGTTCTTTAATTATGATTATTTGTATTTGATTGAAATTAAATATCGAGTTTTTTCTGTTCCAATATCATTGCATGTTTCGATATCACTGAATAATATTACCAAGTACAAACTTAAAGAATACTTTTAAATTAAATGTAGTAATAAGGGACATATATTTTAATAAACTGATAGTTATAGAAAAACTAACAAATGTTTTTGTTTTTTTTTTGCTGATAAGAAGTCGATATACTTATCTTGGTGGCCAAGTTATCAAAACGAGGTCATGCGTAATGTTTGACCTAATCTTGTACAAGATGTGATTAATAGTTAATAACATACTTTGCTAGCTAATGATGTTATATCTTAACAATTATCATTGCTAAGCAAAACAGAATACACTGATTTCTTGTCTATTTGTTTAACCGCCATCTATTGTGTAAATTTAAAAACACTGTAAAGGTTCAAATAAGCACAGTACATGTTAAGCTTCCAAGTTATAATATTAAAACATAGATGTCTATTTCAAAAACTCGTATAATACTAAAATATACCGAATAAATAAACTAGATTAATTGCTATTTAAAGCACTCCTTTAAAGTTTTAGATTTGTCTCTTCTTTGACTGAAACTCTGAGTATAACAGTAACTAAAAAATCTATATAGGTATTATGGCGGCTTTAAGCAGAACCAAGAATATATTTGCAATTCCGAATACCTATTCTTTCAATAATTAATTATTGTTCTATGTTCTGTGTTCTACAAGGTTAAGTTCTAAATGCACTTGTTCAAACAAATGAATGTTACAATATTAAATACGTATTGTTTTTATTTCCACAAGCAGTCATATTATGAATTCAAAAAAATCCTTTAATTTATTGCTCACCAAACAAGAGACTAGCTTTGTCGCCAAGAGAACAAGAGATCAATAAGGAAAAAAGAAGAGTAAATAAAATACATAGTAAAACATGGAAAAAAGAACCATTATACTCGTAATTTACAAATGTAACATTAATATGAGGTATATGAATAAAACGACTTTCTTAGTGCATATTAACACATTATATTTTTCTTGAATACATTTTATTATAATTCTTATTTGACATACATTTAAAAATGTTATATAAATGTAAGTTTATATTACAAATCAACGTGTCTTAAAAATAGACTTAACATTAAGATAGATTTTAAAAAAATCTTAAAACGGACGGATTTAAATCAATTATTTATGTTAAGAAAAATAAAATTAGTAAAGCTATATGACTTTTTACATGAAAAGCGATCTATTAATTTAACAAAATCTATGTTAAAGTAATTTTTAATATTATTTCTCCAACAATGTTAATAACATAGAGCATTGAAAATACGCTTGTGCATTTTGTTCTGATACTTTTAAATCAATAAAGTACGTTGTGTTTATGGCAATTAATGTTACGATTATAAAAATACGTAACTAATAATCTCTTATCTTCTCTATCACCTTGTAGTTGCTACTCCTTCGTTCCGAATACAGAGGCGCCGATCCATTCTTGTGTTCAAAGCCAGGCGGTGAGGCACGTATTCCATTATCGTAGTATTTAACGCTGGAAATCGGTTCCCCCTTATAACCCCTGCTCTTTGTAACCGAATTCACTTCCCGAGATTCTATGATCTCTTTGGACCGACCATCTCTTGACGGTACTATTTTCTTACTAACAGTCTCGACGGTATCCGTCACACTCGGTCGTTCCGGGTCACCCGATCGTGTCGTGTACCTGTACGTTTCAGAGAAGTTATCGCTGCTATTGCTCCCTCTCCTTATTGCCGGTGATTTTAATCTTGTTTCCAATCTCGATACGAAAGGACTCGATTCTCTGTTCAATGATTCAGTTTTGTAAAGCGGGATTTTTCGCTCCTCCGATATTCGCTCCTTGTAATGCGGGGAGGGGGTCCCATATCTCGACGATAATCTGCTTCCGTCTGATTCATCGTCGGCGTGTAACGTTTGATACAGATCTGGAGCACGTTCGCGAAGTCCTTTAAGGAAAATTTTCTTCTTATCGGTTTCCTCGTAGGATTTATTATAGCCGTTCGTGTGACCGTTACTAATCGGTGTAGTTTTACCGTATCTAGCTCCGAACAAGCCATCACGTCTGCGTTCAGTCTCACGAGAGACGGCGTCAGCGAGATCCCGCTGACTTCTGTTTATGATAGACACAATACCGGGACTCTTGAGTTGTTCTGGAGTCTCGTCCAGTTTACTCAAATGCGGATTCGATTTGTACATCGTGGAGTAGTTGCGACTCATGCCTGTGACGTAACGTGGATGCGTCTCCTGTTCAGGAGCGCCCATAGCAAAACTCTTGCTCCTATTCAGACCTTTGTAGGTCCGCGCCGGTTTCGCCGGACCAGGCGGGTAACCGTTGATTTTGACCTCTTGCGGCGGTGGCACGTGATTATTCGATATATTGATGGCACTTGTTGATCGCTTGTTAGACGAGAGGCGATTCCAATATTTGTTTGTTGTCGGCTTTTCGGTGGGTTTTTCTTTGCGCTCGTGGAGTTTCCGCGGCAAAGTCTGCGCGCTGCGCGAGTACTCCTCCTCGGCCTCACTGTTCGGATTCAAGCGGCTCGTTGAGTGGCTGAATCGACCGAGTGTACTCGAAAATTGACCTCTGAAAACAAAAAACCGATGATTTATTACACATTTAATAACACCTCGTAATTATAAAACTAGTCCAGCCCACGTACACTTATTGTTATCTCGCTGTATCAACAAAAACTAGACAATCTTGTATTTTCGCCTGTAATTGGATTCAATGGAGGATCACCGCCTACGCGACTAATGACTGTGCTTTGTTTTGTACGGAACGTTGGTACGCCTTTGTACATAGCGACATTTTAATATTCAAACATTATACAAGTATTTTATTCGCAGTACAATAATTATAACAAGCTCATTGTGTAGGAATACGTCTGTGCCTAACGAGCTAACGCGAGTGGTTTTAATACGACGTAGGTTGGTACTGATTGAAACAAACATAAACGAAATAATTGTTTATAAGTGCGATTATATCTGTATTGAACTAATTACAATTCGTCGAGGCGACATTGGACACCTGTACTCGCATTTTCTAGTTATGAGTCACGATCGTTTTGTTTGCTGTTTGCCGGCGATTCCTTGTAATATAACAAGTACATCTCAATGTGACAAACGTGACTGACTCAACATATGTGCTAAATAAGGGCTGTTTGGTGAATGAAACACTTATCTAGCCGTAAACGGTAAAGCTCATGGACAGCGGCAGGATGGAAAAGGCAAGATATGCCGGAACGCAAACTTTGTCACTTTGTGGTTTAATGTTTTGCTTGATGCATTTTTGTTTTGTAAGAGTTTGCATCACTTTTGTTGCAACAAACTTTTGGATAACTTACGATCATGTTCATATACTCGTATCTTTTGGTAATCTAAGTTGATACTTATGATACTTATCTCCATGATGATTCATGGAGACAATCTCATTGTAGTTAATAATTAATGGTTTCGTCTTAGGTTTTTTGTATGAGTACCAGATATTATAAATTATGGTGGGCATTATATAATGGTGTAGTTTATTTTGTATCAGTACATCTCTTCACGGTTAGTCTTAAAAATCAAGTAACATATGCAAAATAAAAATTTACATTAATAGTATAGATTTAAAATACTAGCGTACTAGTACGGGAAGGCAGCTGAACAATTTTCTAATCCGCAAACTCGCCTGCAGCTTCGCTTTCATACTTCAAACTTTATTGTTTTGTTAATTTTAGATTATGTTTGTAAAAAAAAATGTAAATTAGTTAAAGACTTTGGGAATTTCCTAAAATTAAATATTTTTTCATTTTCATTTTTAATTTTTTCATATTATTCTTGTTCGCTTAGTAGATTACCTCATAAGGCTTTTATTGAATAAACAACGGGTCCTTAACACAAGCCAGTCAGTTAACAGTCTTATCGTTACAGTATTTATAGATATAATAGATAATAAATTCCTTTTAAATACAGATAATTGGCCATAAATTCTCAATTCGATTGTGAAATCTCCATAAATTGTTTACAGTAAACTATTAATTTAGGCACTTTATGAGTTTTACTTTCTTTTTAAAGCGATACAAATCCATTTTCAATTCCTTTTACGATTATAGAATATGTAAACAAACTATTTTGTATGAAAGTCGGGCACGTCGATGACATAGTCAAGATTTTTTTTTTTATAACACAAGGTGGCAAACGAGCAAGCGGCCACCTGAAACCGCCAAAATGGCGAAGCGACCGCTGCCCATAGACATCCGCAAGATGTTTCTAAAGTATAAAACTCGCTTCAGTATTTACTACTTTGCCGATAAATAACAGCATTATGTAACTAAGAAAGTTTTTCTATGTATTAATAATATGAATAAGTGTAAATCAGCATCAACTTGCTCTTATCCCTACGCAAGGTCGGCACAGAATGTATAGCTCTTTCATACATTTCTGTCATATATGCTCATACACACAAACTACCCATACTTTCTTCGGTCTTCCTTTGTAGCCATCCACATTCAATCTTAAAGGTTAAAATATGTAGAAAGGAACGGTTATTCTTAAGAGTATTGAAAGGTAGTTGTTTTTTAAAATTGGAATCACATCTAAAAAAAACAAAAAGCTTTTAAAAGAAATAAAAGTAAGTAAATTCTAAGTCTATTTTTGCCAAATAACCTCATTTTCCTTGAATTATGAAACTTATATCTTTTCTAACATCGTTTTATGTGCAATATGTTACATTGCCAAGTCTAAACGCGCTTGCGACATACAATTTTTATTACGTCACGTTTTGAGCCTATCTTTTATGAATTGATGTCTTCTGTTATCATAAGTTAAAAGGCTATTTGGTTACTTTTATTTCATTATTACGTCATGTTTCATCGTCGAGAAAGACACAGATAGTAGAATTAGGTAATCTTACTAATATCATAAATGAGAAAGTTTAGATGGATGGATGGATGTTTGTTAGAGTTTGCAGTCTAAACTGCTGAACGAATCTCAATGACATAGATGTAGAGGATAGACTGGAAGAACACATAGGCTGCTTGCTTTTTTTTATTTTTTAATACCACGCGGACGGAGTCCCGAGCGAAAGCTAGTTAATTATATATTTCGAGCACTGGAAGAAAAATTATACAATGCAAAGACTAATTACGCCGAATACAAAAACAACTTACGACAGTGCTGAAACCTAGATTTTTTATTTATCTTCCTTTGCATATCAATAATGACAATGTTTTATTATTCAAATTAATAAAAAAAAACATTCGTGCCAAAACAAATCTAATTATCCAACAGATTCTAACAATTCTTTTACTAAGTAAAAGTTAAATCAGCGAATTTTGTATATCGGAGGGTCGTAATGCCCTCTCCAAAGCAATTAATAATAAACTCATTTTAACCATTCTGAAGGCAAACGTTATACATTTAATACCTAGAGACTTAGTACAACGGCCTATACTTTCTTTTAGACTACAAGATCTTACAAACGATCGTTTACCCCTTTTGGAGATACATCAATCCATCCAAATTCGCATTAATAATAATAATTACGTCACTTAAGTTTTTCTTAGTTACATGAGTTTAAGTTTTTGGTATGGTGCTTGAGTCATGGGATTCCGCAGCTAGTGGTGCTCTATTTTTTGACCGACTTCCCAAAAGAAGGAGGTATTCAATTCGTCGGTATATTTATTTTTTTTTTTTTTTTTTTTTTTTTTTTTTTTTT